AGTATGCCAATATGGAAAAATGAGTAGCAAAGTTAAGTTCTGGGAAAAAGTTATTTGTTCAGTTTATATAAGATTGTGTACATTGATTTTCTTTGCCTTTTGTGAAAGTTAGTGTTCCTATTTATGATATTGATGAAATATTCATGAAGAAGACAGTATAAGAATAGAAGTCTGATACATATATTCAGTTGCCTAAAGAAAAATGTAAAGTGTCCTTACTCTTTATCAGTATTAGTGTTTCCAGTAGTTATATATCCTTTCTGTTATCTGTATACCTCAATCCATTATATATACTCACATTTTAATATTTGTTATGTGTTTCAGGGTGTTGACGATGCCTTCTATACATTAGTTCGAGAAATTCGAAAACATAAAGAAAAGATGAGCAAAGATGGTAAAAAGAAGAAAAAGAAGTCAAAGACAAAGTGTATAATTATGTAAATACAATTTGTACTTTTTTCTTAAGGCATACTTAAGTAAAAGTGGTAATTTTTGTATATTACACTAAATTATTAGCATTTGTTTTAGCATTACCTAATTTTCTGCTCCATCTGAACTGTTAAGCTTTTATCTTGAATGCTTATTTTAAAATGACAGTGGAAACTTTTTTTCCTCTAAGTGCCAGTATTCCCTGAGTTTTGGTTTTTGAACTAGCAATGCCTGTGAAAAAGAAACTGAATACCTGAGATTTCGGTCTCGGGGTTTTTGGTGCATGCAGTTGATTACTTCCTATTTTTCTTAACCAATTGTGAACTTTGATGTGAGACAAATTAATGAAGCTTTCGAATCATCCCTATTCTGTGTTTTATCTAGTCACATACATGGATTAATTACTAATTATAACTTCAGTTGAGATTTCATGATTGGTTTTACTGAAACATTGAGGGAACATGAATTTATGGGCTTCTTGTAGATTCATCTTGTAGGTATAATGTCCTATAGTTTCAGTCACCCTTAATGAATGTAAAGTTACACTGTTCACAAGGTTTTCTCCATCTTTCACTGCTATTTGTCATAGTCACGCTCCCAAAAATACTATATTTTTTCTATAAAAAGGGAAAAAATGGAAAAAAAAATACAAGGCAATGGGAAATATTAAAAGGCATTTACTTTCCATATTAGATAAATTCCTATAATACTCTGAATAGCTTTTCCTGTAAAGGCAGACCCAGTATGTAATGAGGATTATAGCAACCATTTTGGGGCTATATTTACATGCTACTAAATTTTTGTATTAATTGAAAAAATTTTAACATGTATAAAAAATTCCCATAGGAATTAAATACAGTCTCCCTGTGTCAGATTGCTCTTTCTTAGCATAACTTTAAATCTTTTCTTGATCTTTGGTCTTAGAAAATAGTTTTAATTCTGGTAGTGACGTTAAAGATTATTTGGGCCAGTTAGCTTTAGTAGATGTTAAAGAGACCAAGGTTGCAAGGCCAGGCCTTGTATAAACCTTTGAGCTTCATTAAGAGTTTCATAGTATGGACTGGCATCCCTGTGGTCTCCCTGTTGTCATGAATTGGGTGGTCAGAAGTGGGGACGAGGAGAGTTTGGATAAGATGCATCCTCACTATGTGGTGGTCCTGCTGACAGATCAGGAACATCACTTTTGTTTAAAAAAAAAAAAACAACCAATAGAACTTTTTAAAAACATTATTTCAATTAAGATTTTGGGATAGGGGGTGGCAAGACTTTAATTTTTTTTTTTTAAAAAACAATGAAGTGAAAAAGTTTCAAAATCTTTAGTATTGGCTAGTTCTCAACACTGGCTAAAGTAACATTTCATACACACTTTGCAAGTGTGGTCCATATTTAAGAATGTCTAATGCTTAAATAATAAATTAATAACAATGATTCTTTCAGTGCATTTAAAATGTATTTTTAAATATCTGAAGTGAGATGGTGTGTTGAGGTGAAAATATCACTGGACCAGGAGGAAGGTGACTTAGATTCTAGTTACATGTCTTTTACAATTTCAGTTTTGGGCAAATCACTTACTGTCCATTTCTTCATGTTAAAAGGAGTCATCTCAGAGGCTTAGCTAGCATTACAACTATGTGATTTACATTCAGTTTACATAAGGATATACCTGTTTGTCAATCTCAGCACAGTCTGTAACTTTTTACCTGTGTTATCTTCAGCGCCAGTCTTAGACAAAGTTGTGCAAGAGGTGAAGTTTATTTTTGAGTATCTGTTCTCCAGTAGCAGTACTCCTCTCCCATAGTAGTGTCATCTTGCCTGCCTACCCTTCTACATGCCACATGACTTTCTTTTCTTGTAATTCCCCTAACCTCAAGATTTATTGCTGCTTTGGGTATCTGCATGAAGGCTTCCCATCAAGTCACATTGTTCAGGCGCAACTTAATCTGACAGATACTGTAATAGGATCTGACCTAATAGCTAATTTTCAGGTGGTAGCTAGAGCAATTTAATTTTGATCCTTTGAACATCATCTCTTTGCTACCTGGTCGACTAGTGGCTAAGTAGGAAAAGTAGGATTTTTCATACCTGCTAAGAATAGACCCTATCCAGTAGAAGAATTTAATAAATTTATATTAATAAATACTGAAAGATTCCTTAGATAATCTAAAACTAGGACTAGACCTGGTAACAGTGATACATTCCATTATTTTAGTAAGTAAAATCTTCTTACAATGAAAAATACTTTAAAATTTAATTCATAAAGCTTACTTTTTAGCAGAATTCATTTATCCAGCAAATATCTGAGTGCCTACTGGATGCCAGGTACTGCACAAGGCAGTGGGGATCCTACAGTATCCCCAACAAGGGACATAATTCCTATCCTAAAGTAGTGCTGATATTTTAGAGTGGTCTGTAATCTTAGTGAGGCATTTGGCACATGACCCAGAAATAAGATAATGCATATTTTAGTTTTGCAAAGAAGGGATATGGTCTCTAAGGTTTCTTCCAGTTCTAAAATAATTGTTTCGCTCTGATTCCAATAAAGCTGTTTAATCAAGCTACTTTATGTAGATCACTTTACTTCATTATTTTAAGGGAGTAAACGTGACTGTATTTTTTATTTGGGATAATTATGTGACTTTATTGGGACAATTGTAGTACACATTAAATCGTATGTCAGATGATAACATTAAAATTCCCAAGTGCGTAATATTCTAGTTGGTCTCTTTGTTTCATAATTAAAATAGACTTAAATATTGAATTCAAAAACAGTTTTATTTATCTGGGTATGAATAAACAGATGCCTGAACTAATTCACAGAAAAGGAAACTTCTGTGTAAAATTCAGTCCAATTTCTGAAATGCTATGCTAAACTACAGGTTTATGGAACATTATCTAGATAGGGTGTTAAGACTTTATATAGTACTTCCTCTTGTTTCTACACAAGAGAAAGAAATGGCCATACTTCAGGAATTGCAGTGCATAACTGAGGGATTTTTAGGACTCTTGAATTTTTTGATGTAGCTGGGCAACTTTTTTTAGGCAGTGGTAATCATCCTTTATTATGTGAATTTTGAATGGTTTGACAAAAGGTTTGTTTTTGTAGAGATTTTAAAAGGGGAGCGATAATCCTAGAAAGAAATATTATGTAATTATTACGGCCTTAAAGATAAAAATCCTTGGAGTTGAAAAAATTGCTAAATTACCTAGTCTTAGACATTAACATGTTTGTGGAAGAACATAGCAGAAGTATGTAGTATAATTTGAGTGAATATTACCAATTAGGAATTCTAGGCTCTATTTTAACTGAGTCACACTGCATAGGAATTTAAAACCTAACTTACAGGTTATCAAAATCTTTGCCACCATTGCACAATTTTGTCCTAATATATATAGAAACTTTTGTGAGGCATGTTCGGTTGCAGTTTGCACAAGTTCATCTCATTTGTGTTCCAGTGATTTTTTTCTTCTAACCATTTTTTTCAAAACAATAAATACACATTGTTTTTTTGGTAGGCAATAAAATCTGTCATTTCCATTGTCAAAAAGTAATTTCTTGATAACTGTATTAATGGTTTTTAAAAAACCATCAGTTACTTTAAAACTGAATTTATATTTAATAACTTCTGTATTAGTGTTGGGTAGCATGAAATCTGCATTGAGAAATTGAACAGCATACAACTGGTAGCTGTAAATTCCTTCAGAAAATGAAAATTATTTCTTCCTAAAGATATATTTACATCAGTTCTTGAAGAATAGTCATAGCTAGATTAATAACTGTTTTAGTTTAATAGTTTTAAGTGCCTGTTTGGGATGATAGGAAATTTAGATGAATTTAGGAAAAAAACAAAGTTCTAACTTACAGAAATGTCCATTACAGAGCGTCGCCCTCCCCATAGAGCTAAATGGGTTATGTAATGTTTTATCCAAAAGTTTCCAATTCCACTGTCTTGTGTTTTCATGTTGAAAATACTTTTGCATTTTTCCTTTGAGTGCCAATTTCTTACTAGTACTATTTCTTAATGTAACATGTTTACCTGGAATGTATTTTAACTATTTTTGTATAGTGTAAACTGAAACATGCACATTTTGTACATTGTGCTTTTTTTTGTGGGACATATGCAGTGTGATCCAGTTGTTTGCCATCATTTGGTTGCGCTGACCTAGGAATGTTGGTCATATCAAACATTAAATTTAAAAATGACCACTCTTTTAATTAAAATTAACTTTTAAATGTTTATAGGAGTATGTGCTGTGAAGTGATCTGAAATTTGTAATATTTTTGTCATGAACTGTACTGCTCCTAATTATTGTAATGTAATAAAAATAGTTATGGTGACTCTGGTAGTGTGTACTTCTTGAAATTTGAAACATTTGCCCCACAATTGATACGGAATAGTTTATAAGCCACAGACACTATTATTAGTGAATCTTTTGCAGCTTATATGTTAGATATATTCTTTGTGAAAGGTGCTGTGAACATTATGTAAAGGTTTAAGTGTTTGCTTAAAACCATGTTAGATTTAGGTCCATTTACTATGTTAACTCATTAAGAAGTAGATGCAAAACAGATCTGCCTTTATGATGAAAGAACAGAATAACATTATTTATTACTTTTTATCAGTAAAGGTAATTGATACACAACAGGTGACTTGTTTTAAGACCTAAAGGGAGTCAGCAGCAAAATTAATAATGGGAGATATTAAATAGGTATGTATATAATGCCAGTCACTGGCAGCCTACTTCAAGATCAGAAATAATCTTACTCCATACATATTATTTCTGTAACTGCACTTAAATCATTACCATGTGCTATTTGTTTTGTAGTGAACCTTGAATGTGTGCTGTTAATGTATCAAATAGATTCAAAAATAAGGAAATAAGATGGTACTCCTTCAAAAGTTAAGGAAAATTAATGTGCAATAAATTATTTTGCTTAGTTACATGCATTAAATGGCATTCTCTTGTCAGTAAAATGGAGAAATGGGCTAAGAATAATTGGTAAAAACTTATTAAAATTATTTTAAGTACATTATATTTTCATTCAAAATTGGGTACTCATTAATTTTTAATTGGTAGTTGGCTATATTGCTGGTTTTGTATAAAAATTAAACATTAAGGATTGCTGATAAAGCTCTGTGAACAGAAGTTGAAACCTATTTTGGTTCATTAAGGCAGCTCAGGCATTTTTTACATGACGTGTAAATCTTGCCATTTTAAGTTAGTTACTTTTATCATATCTGGTATACATAAACAGCTGGCATTGAATTCCAGTCAAATTATAGTAATAGTGATCAGTTAGTTTTGTTGATATCTGAGTAATAGCGTTGTTTCATCGCTCTGTATTTCCTAAGGAAGTATAAGGCTTCTAGCTCTTTCATTACAAATTTGCCCCGTCCAATAAGATCTTTGATCTTCTCTGGGTCCTTCACATCTTTGTTTTTAAGGAAAACACTCTTCAGACGCCTTTTAAAATAGTCTGCTCCTTTTGGATAGTCTCGCCCAAGATACAGCAGCTTAAAAAAGAAAGGTTACATATTTCTAAACAATCTGTATCTCAATAACATATGTATAAAACTGGCAACATAATTACTTACATTTTTATAAAGATTCAGTACTTCTCCTCTTAAAGAATTGGCCATTTTCATTTATTATGGAAAGTATCCACTTTTACACATAACATACCTAAAGAAAAATAAAAATTTTTGTAAATAACTGCATTGTAGTCCCAAAAAAGAATAAATGATTTTACACATTGGGAAAAAATGGTAATTTTTTTTTCATTCAATAAATACTTATTAAGCACTTATGTTCCAAGCACTGGGACATAGCTACGAAATGTCAGATAAGATACCTGCTCTCACAGAACTAACATTTCCTGTGGGAGACATAATAAGAGAATTATGAATTGTGTAAGTCCTATGAAGGGAAAGGGTAATGAAAGAGAAAATGACTTGTCAAAGATAGTTATGTAGGTGTACCTTCTTTTATACAGAGTGGAATGAATTAGATTTGAATCCCAGCTGCATAATGTTACACAGATTAAACTTTATGAAAAGCTTCAGTTTCCTTACTGTCGAAAGGAAGACTGTCTACGTTGCTCTCAAGGCAACATTTTCTAGTAGCCCATATTAAAAAATATAACAAAAATTAATACATTTTGTTCATATCCAAAATATTTCAGTGTCATGTTAGATACATATCAGGTGCTTATAGGTATCAGTGGCTTAGTTGCCACCATACTGGACAGCATAGCTTTAGAGTATAGTTCCTGTGACAAGGACATTTTCCTACAGTACAACCATCAGAATAAGGAAGCTAACACTGCTGCATTACTACGTCAAATCACAACCCCTTCATGTTTTGGCAGTCATCCCAAAGATGCCCTTTATAGCAGAAAGTTCCAATTCAAGATTACACATTGCATTTAGTTTTCATGTCTCTTTAGCCTTCAGTCTGGAAACAATTCAAGTTTCCTTGACTTCCATAACTTCATACTTGTGAAGATCACAGGCCATTTATTTTGTAGAACAGCTGGAGACTACCACAGATGTTTAAAGTGCTCAGAAATAACAGAGTAGCCTGGGAAGGGGAGCAAGGGACTGGAGAACAGGAAGGGATCAAAAGGCAGGAGGAAATCCTTGGGGATAATGGAGATGTTTATTATTGTGATTGTGGTGATAGTTTTATAGCTGTATACGTATGTCAAATTAATCAGATCGATTTACACTTTAAGTATAACTTACTATATGTCAATTATACCTCAGTAAAACTTTTTAAAAATTGGTGTAAGTATGCTGGTAAAATGTTCAGAGGAAGGCTGGGAGATAGTGAGGTACACATGGAAATAGAGATCTAAACCACAAGGTTGCCAGTTAGTGGTCAGAATAGGTGGTTCAACCAGCCACCAGTCAAGTTGCATAAAACCAGGTATGCCTCTCTGGGGGGGAGCCCTGGTTGTAAACACTTATTTTAAATTTTTAAAAAAATATACTTGGAAGACTCCTGCTGCCGGGATGGCAGCTAAATGAAGTCCTTTTCATTTCTTGCTGAAGTTCATAAATCTGATTCTCTGGCTTTTCTTTCTTAAGGGGGAAACATGAACAAACATTATTTCCATTTTAATTCTTACATAATTCCCCACTTTACTAGTAGTTTTTAAGCTAATTCACATAGCAAACATACAATGTAGCAGAACAATTCTTTCTTTTTGAACTTTGTTGAAATTTTCTGTTTTTCTCCGGATTGCTTTTTCTGCTTTTGTCTAGATTGCTTCTGAGCTTTCTTCCCAAGTCTGCTTTTTTTTTTTTTCCATTTTTACAAGTGAAACGACAAAAAAAGCATTTTTAGAAGACTGCAGCTTAACCGACTGAGCCTCACTTAGGGATTATCTGAGTGCACCCTTTGTTGGGGAACCTCTGAAGTCAAAGTCATTCCTCCTGGACTGGCTGATCAGATTCCCCAGAGAAGAAACTTCCAATTTGCTGAGGGTTTGCCTATTCAACCTGAAGAAATGGAAGAAGGATGGGGGCCTTGCATTCAGCATTATGTACACCAAATTTAATTTCTGTTTCCAGTGTGGTTCTCATGTACTTAGTATACATGAGGACACCTCAGTGCATAGAATAATATTATTTAGTCAGAAATACATCTCCATGCTTCCGTGGAGTGAGAGGTGCAGTCCCTCTAGAGTTGTTTTTCCTAAATAGCTTTTACTTAATCTCTTTGATTTACTTCATTCTTCATTTCCAATTCCATTGGCCCTGTTCCAGTGCCTTTTGAGAATTATGCAGTATAAATTGGGCTTTTCTGGTGTGTTGAGTCACATTCATTCATCTGGTTTGCAGCTTCCAAATTTTTACTGTTGTCATCTCTTTTCTCTCTCATTTTTTGTTTATTTTTATATCCCTTCACTGACGATCAGTGGAGTTTTGAAAGGTAATGAAATTAGAAGGGTACATTTAATCTACCATATTAACACCTAATTTCCATTTTAAAACTTTTTTTGTTGTTTGCTGAGAGCCAGTTTCTAGCGTGGTTTAATCTTATTGAAGAATGGCTCTTAAGAATCACATGCTTTAGGGGCGCCTGGGTGGCTCAGATGGTTAAGCGCCTGCCTTCGGCTCAGGTCATGATCCCAGGGCCTGGGATTGAGTCCCGCATCAGGCTCCCTGCTAGCCGGGGAGCCTGCTTCTCTCCCTCTGCCTCTGCCTCTCTCTCTCTCTCTCTGACTTTCATGAATAAATAAATAAAATTAAAAAAAAAAAAAATCACATGCTTTAAAAATCATTCTAAATCTACATAGACATACTTTCAAGTTGCAAATTATAGCCTGTTTAATTTTCTGGCAAAGAACACAGCTTTATTTAACTCAGAATTTATAATTTGTAAAAGCTTAAATTAACCTTTTAAGCTATTGCCTTTTTTACAAATCATACATAATAAAAGAATTTGCCCAGCAAAAAATGTAGCTGGTTTACTAGGGTAAAATTGTCCAGTTCTTTGATACGTTAATTTGTAGAAGTTAAGGCAGTTTATTATTATTTTATGTTGACCTTCAGGCTTTAAGTTTATTAGCCATTGGGAGAAAGAGGTCTCCTTGGGTTCACCTGGTGAAGTTAAAGTGCAGCAGGGACCTGGGGCTGCTCCTTAACCCTACATGAAGTCATGCAGGTTACTGCTCTTTGTAAAGAGCCAAGCTATTAGGGACTAAGAGAAGCCCCCTATCATTCTGAGAATGTGTGTGGTGGGCAAGGGGAAGGAGGTACAATCCCCATTGATAGCTTTTTTCCAATGACTGCGGGCTGAGAGAGTTCAGACTTAACCAACTCCAGTCCTGGGTTAACTAAGAATTGTCATTTTACTGGTGGCCAAAGCTGTTGTTAATCAGTCTTCCTCATGAAGTTCAGATGGCAATAAAAGTTGAAGGAAAATGGGCAAAGAAAGGCAGTGCAATGTTACTATTTATTGGTTTCTAATAGATTTTGACTTCAAACAGCTGAAACACATTTCCCCAAACTAGTTAAGCCTAAAAAGCTTCACATAAAAAACTCTAACACCAGCTCCAAAGGATAGGTCATCAGAGAGGTAGGTGGCAAAAAATTTTTGCCCCCTAAGGCTGGCATTTGGCTTGGTCGAGGCATACCTAGGAGCCAGATTATAGAAGGGAGTTGAAAGGAGCTGGTATGTGTATGTTCAGAATGGGTGGATACTGTGCCAGTCTGAAGGCAAAGAGAGAACAGGAAATCGTCCTTACACTTAGGCAGCTTGCAAGGGAAGTACTAGAGAGCCAAACTCACTGGTATAATTTTTACAGCACAGTGTCCCTAGAACACAGTCTAGTATGTTCTCACACATCCCTAGCACTTCCTCCTCCCTAGGAGGGAGGCGGCATAGAGTGAGAGCTTGAGCAAGTCCTCTGCCCTAGAGGCCTACCATTTTAAGGTAATTTGGGATTACCATTAACACCACTGTATGCCCATCAATCCTAATTGAGTTGACTGAGGTTTTATATCATAAACATTATTAGGTTGACTGAAACACTAAAACAAAAACTTCCATACCAGATGGCTTCAGAACTCTATATGAAGTCGACATTAAGATGTTTTTTTATCTTGCTACCAGGGATTTGGGGATGGAGCGTCATAATTTACAATCTGGATTTCTATTACAATGGGAGTTAATAACACCTCAGCCAACAAGACTAGCTCAGTAATCCTTATTTACTAATATATTTAGTCAATAAAGTTGGGAGAGAGCATTATACAATTAGAATTCAGAGATAAGAAATGCCAACGATTTTAAAGTATTCAATGTTTTGTCATGCTAAAACGGCCCTAAAAATCACAGAATTGAGCATTTGGAAGGAGCTTAATTTCTTAATCACTTGATTTCTTCTAGTTTTCCTGTTGGTCTAAGTTGCCAATGTTTCTTTATGTGGGGAGGAGACTGAAATTCTAAAGGTTGTACAACTGGCTAGCACCATTAGCCTGTGACCTTGGGCTTAACGAGTCTTGCTGGGCCTCAGCGACCTTCAACTGTAGGAAATCCTTTACCCAGGAATTGCTTCAAGTAATTTCCAGTTCTTGTTTAGAGCTGCTCTTAGGAAAACCGGCTTGCAAAACATAACTTGCACAGAAAGTAAACTGAACCATGTGCAAAGAGAAGAATCCAAAGGTCATTAATTTCAAAATAACCAACCCTCTTGGAACCAATTTATTTACCCCTTTCTCTAAATTGCCAACTGAGCCCCGTCCCCACTCGGGCCTAAGCTGTGGTGGCCCAGGCAGCCCGCCCGGGTGTCAAGTCACTTCACTCAATCGCGTAGCCGGCGTCTCCCTTCCTTCTGGAAACGCCTCACAGAAAGACCGGCCCCAAAACACTCCTAGGGAGGAAGAGAGACTGTCAACGTCGGAAGACGTTCAGAAACCCTATGCCACACCCGGTAGCCCCTGCCCAGACCATACTTCACCGCCTCCAGACCCCGGGATCTGGAAAACAATAAAACGTCCCGGCGGCTGCACTCACGCACTTTCCGGCATTCCACAGCCGTAAAGGCCTCCGACCGCTTCGACTCCGGGCTCTGTCAACAGCGAAGCAGGGCGGGTGTTGGTGTGAGGCAGCCAGTCAGAGAAGGGGGCGGGGCGCCCCACGGAAGGACCCCGGCGCGATTGCGCGGACCAGTACGCGAGGATTTGAGCTCTTTCCCTTGGGGCAAGTGGGCGGGGCTTGTCGTCCTGACAACCCGGGAGCGTTCGTCCGCACACTCTGAGCTCCGATTTGGCCGACTACGGAGGGAGGCTCTGCTGGCTGCAGAATGGTGAGCTGGGAAAGTGGGGGACCCAGGTGAAGGGGGGAGCAGTGATTCCCCCGTGTTAAATGATGTAATAAGAGCCTGACATATTTTAGAGGGGAGCGGGTGGGTTTAAGAAAGAACCCTTACCCCTGTGGGAAATTGGCCTTCTGATCCGTGGCCTTCCCGTCCGGGATCTCAGGGACGGATGGGAGTCTCAAACCGGTTTCTGCAAATGGGGGTTGGCCAGTGCGGTCAAATGGTGTCCTAATCTCGCGCTGTTGCTAGGTTTAAGAATTGGCCTCAACCTGGTAATTTCCAAGAATGATAGAAGTTTCCATTAAATTGCTTTTTTCATTGGCAGCTTGGCGAAAATGTGTTTTTGTGCCTCCTCGGTAGTTAATTAAAAGCTGTTGCAGTTTCTTCTGCTTTGGATAGTCATTTTATGTGGTATTTTGTGGAAATACGAATTGTTTTGTGATTCAAATTACTCAGCTTGCCTTGAATTTGTTAAATATAATAAAGCTACTTGTTTTGTTTTAATGCACTCCTCAGCTGTTTTGTCTTTTTCCAGAACACAGACCACCTGCCCCTTATGAGATGATCTCTGTTCCCATTTTCTTAAATGTGACTTCCATTTTCTGTGGTTAAAACCAAAGGAAGTAGAAAATGTAATTATTTAATTCATTAATTAAGGGGAAATACGGACTACTTTCTTTGTGTTTGACACTAGGCTAGAACCCCTCCCTGCTGTGGGAGACAGGCTAAGCTAATAAGAATACAGTTTTTTAACTGTAACAGTTGAAATGTCTACAATGGATTAAGTTGGGAATGATGAAATTGGGGTGGGAAAGGGCACAGAAAGGGAAGAGCAGTGCTTTTCAAACTGTGTTTTAAAGTTTGAGTATGAATTTACCAGAATTGATGGACAATGTTCATGTCAGGAAGAACAGGAAGTAAATGGACTTTAAGCTGACTTAAAACTGCTGGTAAATTGAGGGAACAATAAGCCTCTATTTATTTTCCAATGGAACATAAATTTCATCTTATCCATCTAGCAGTGTTTCTCAAAATGTCCCTGGAACATTTGCTTCTACCACATCTGGAATACTTGTTAAGATGCAGATTCTAGGAACAGACTGGACTCCAAACAGTCTGTACTGTTTCCTACTGTACTAGTTTCCTAGGGCTGCCAAGTAACAAAGTAAAACAAACTAAGTGGCTTAAACAGTGGAAACTTACTGTTGCACAATTCTAGTGGCTGATAAATCCAAGATCAAGGTGTTTCCAGGGCTCTGCTCCCTCTGTGGGTGCTAGGGAGAGATCTGTTCAGACCTTTTTCCTAGCTTTTAGTAGTTCCTTGGCTTGTAGCAACATAACCCCCATTCTTTATGTGGTGTTCTGTGTGCGTGTCTTTGTCCAAATTTTTCCTTATTATTAGGCCACCAGTCGTATTGGATTAAAGGTTATTCTATTCCATTATGATCTCATCTTAATTTAATTACATCAACAACAACCCTAGTTCCAAATAAGGTAAAATTTGAAGGTACTGGGGAATAGGACGAGAAAGCAGTTCAATCTATAATATCTACTGAATCACAGTGGGGAGGGGGAAGTGTGTACACTTCTACCACAGGAATATGCATTTTTTTAACAAGCCCTCTGAACTTTGAAGAACTACAGTTGACTCTTGAATAACATTGGTCCACTTTGAACTGTGGGAATCCACTTAGAGGCAGATTGTTTTGATAAATACAGTATGATACTGTCAATGTATTTTTTCCTATTTTCCTAATATTTCTTTTCTCAAGCTTATTTTATTGCAAGAATACAGTATATAATACAAATAACATACAAAGTATGCGTTAACTGTTTATGTTATCAGTAAGTCTTCTAGTCAACAATAGGCTATTAATAGTTAAGTTTGGGGGGAAGTCAAAAGTTATATGTGAATTTTTGCCTGCATGGGGGTTGGCACCCCAACCCCTGAGTTGTTCAAGGGTCAATTGTACTATACTACATGATGCTGTTTTTATGATTTGCAGGAGGGGTTAGGATAAGTACTAATCCCGAACCCACTTCACATTAAAAGCACTAGTGAGAGATGGTAATTTGCCCATCTTAAAATATCACTACTTGAGAACAGGAGCAATACTGTGTGCGTATTCTGCTGTATAGTACTTATTTCAAGATGGGAGTGTATTAACTATTAATTGATAGTAAATACGATGATAAAAATAGAACTCAACTGAAAAAATTATATGTGAGCAGTCTCTACTATTCCTCTTTATATCATCTCCAGTGTCCCAGAGCTCTGCATTTACATGTGTGCAAATCATTAATAAATATCTGCTGAATGAATTAATGAAATATATGTACTTTCAAGGAGATAAAATCTGCTTCATGTCAGTTTCAACATTTATATTTAATACAGTTGATAATCTTATAGCTTGAACCAGTAATTTTTCCTGGATAAGTTGTCAGATGTGGAATGTGTATAATCTTATAGTCACATGATCTCCTACAGATTCCTTATCAGAAATCTAATGGACACATGAGCCTAATCAGGAAATTACAAGTAGTGTTAATTGAAAAACACATGTAATGATAATGCTAATGGTAAATATTTATTGCAATACTGTGCTTTCCAAATTAATTTCCAAAGAAGGATAGATCTGCTTTAAGACACATTGCTGAAGAGAATCGTTTTATCATAGCTTTGCCTGCTTTAAATAACTGATTCTTTTTCTAGAAAATCAGCAATCTAATTTTTCAGAAAGATTATTTATTTATGAGATCATTTCCACACTTTCAAACTTGACATCAGTACCTGTATTTTAGTCAATCACTTATTGTTCCTTGGAACCCTTTATCTCCCTGACTGCTACTTCTGTGTAGTGGTAGGTCATTTCATTACACATAGGTCATTGACTGTCACAAAGAGTGTAAGATTTAAAGAGTGTATAATTTTAAAAAGGTCCTTTAGTGGGTGAACTATTTTTGTTTTTCCTAGACCTGCTTGTAGTTTTGTCTAAATTCTTTTTTAAAAGACTTTATCTTGAGATAATTTTAGTTTTACACAAAAGTTGCAAAGATGATGCAGAGTTTCCTTATGCTTTTTACCCCGCTTCTCCTAATTTTCACATTTTATATAATCTTGGTACTTTTGTTAAAAATATCTGAGTTTTTTAAAAATTTATCAATCCTTTTGTTTTTCCAACTTTCAGGGTCCCAAAGCAAAAAAGGTAGGTAGAAATTATTCTCTCAAAATAGTTTTATAAGCACTGACATTGTATGAACAGAATTTTTAAACATTTTTTAGTTTTATTATACTTTATAATAGGATTTACTAAGCTTACTTTTTAGATTATTACTGCTATTTATTTTATTATTTTTTTAATTATGTTAATCACCATACATTACATTAGTTTTTGATGTAGTGTTCCATGATTCATTGTTTGCATATAACACCCAGTGCTCCATGCAGAACGTTCCCTCTTTAATACCCATCACCAGGCTATTCCATCCTCCCACCCCCCTCCACTCTAGAACCCTCAGTTTGTTTTTCAGAGTCCATAGTTTGTCATGGTTCGTCTCCCATTCTGATTTCGCCCCCTTCATTCTTCCCCTACTGCTATCTTCTTTTTTTTTTTTTTAAACGTATAATGTATTATTTGCTTCAGAGGTACAGATCTGTGATTCAGCAGTCTTGCAAACTTCACAGTGCTCACCATAGTACATACTCTCCCCAATGTCTATCACCCAGCCACCCCATCCCTCCCAACCCCCACCACTCCAGCAACCCTCA